TTTCAAACTTGAACATGGCTATTCATCCTATTTGCATGCATTCACTACAAGCTGACAAGCCTAGGCTGCATAGCATTAGGCCTGGCAATTCCTGACACAACCCGATAACCCGACCCGACACGACACGAAATTAACAAGAGTTCAAGTCGACACGATAACAAATCAAGTCGTTATCGGGTAACCAGATAAACACCTGTTAAGATAACATGTTGATTCCGGTATACACGTGGGTAACATAATACAAGATAAGCAGAATATTATTTTTATAATTTTATAACCCTAAAAAAATACTGTAATAATTATATATATTAATTTAACAATTTTATACCCCTAAAAACTATAATAAATATATATATATATATATTAAATTAACTATAATAATTATACTCCCAAAATATTAACTATCTATAATAATTATATATATATATATATATATATTAAATTTTGAATTAAATTTTATAAAAACTATAATAATTATTAATTAATATGCATTCATTGATTTGATTCCATAATTGATAATTCCATTCCATTCCCTGCAGTGCCGCCCTTTTTGAAGAAAAATGGAGGAAAAATGAAAGTGATAAGAAAAGTTGAAAAGGAAACAAAAAAGAGAGGGAATTAGGGAAAGATGGGCAAGCACCATAGGCTGTCGAAGGGAAAAGTGAAAATTATAAGAAAAGTTGAAAAAGACACAAAAAAGAGAGGGAAAAATGAAAATTAATAGAAGTGGTGAGATTTTTTTTATTTTTATTTTAAGTTATTAACTTTTTATCACATATATGACATATCTCACTATTTTTATAATGAGTCACGTGATGTACTACTCCATATACCAATCAATTATACATACAAAATAAATAGATTTAAATCTAATTAATAAATATACATATATATATACACACACACCATTGAACTTGATGGGATACGAATTCTCCGAAACTAATTTCAATGATCTCAACCGTCAAACTTGTTTGTATATGCTTCAAGATCACATCAGCAAAAAATCGCAAAAAACAAACATTCAGATATCAAGTAACGGGACAAGCTTTTTGACGGTTATAAACGAAAAATCACGATTAAACGGTTATTTTAACTTCGATTTTGATGATTTTTTACAGCTACACTCATTAATCCTATATGAATACAATGAATGAATTTGATCTTCAATTTAAAATATTTACACAAGTGGTTACCACAAAATCTTATCTTATACTTGATGAAAGAATAAATAAACTCTTAAGTGTTAGTCAATCTATTGTTTTTATAGGATACAAATTCTCCGAAACTAATTTTAACAATCCCAACCGTCAAACTTGTTTGTATATGCTTTGAGATCACATCAGCAAAAAATCACAAAAAAACAAACATTCAAAGATCAAGTAACGGGACAAAGCTTTTCGACGGTTATAAACAAAAAATCACGATTTAACGGTTATTTTAACTCCGATTTTGATGATTTTTTACAGTTATACTCCTTGGCCCTATATGAATACAATGAATAAATTCGATCTTCAATTTAAAATATTTACACAAGTGAATACCACAAAATCTTATGTTATACTTAATGAAAGTATAAATAAACTCTAAGTGTTAGTCAATCTATCGTTTTGATGGGATACAAATTCTCCGAAACTAATTTCAAGGATCATAACCGTTAAACTTGTTTGTATATGCTTCGAGATCACATCAGCAAAAAATCGCAAAAAACAAACATTCAGAGATCAAGTAACAGGACAAAACTTTTCCACAGTTATAAACGAAAAATCACGATTTAATGGTTATTTTAACTCCGATTTTGATAATTTTTTACAGCTACACTCCTTGACTCTATATGAATATAATGAATGAACTCGATCTTCAATTTAAAATATTTACACTAGTGGATACCACAAAATCTTATGTTATACTTAATGAAAGTATAAACAAAATCTAAGTGTTAGTGAATCTATTGTTTTTGATAGGATATGCATTCTATGAAACTAGTTTCAACGATCCAACCGTCAAACATGTTTGTATATGCTTTGAGATCGCATACGTCAAAAATTTCAAAAAACAAACATTAAGAGATCAAGTAACGGGCCAAAACTTTTCGACGGTTATCAACGAAAAATCACGATTTAACGGTTATTTTAACTCCGATTTTGATGATTTTTTACAACTACACTCCTTGACCCTATATGAATACAATGAATGAACTTGATCTTCAATTTAAAATATTTACACAAATGGATACCACAATATCTTATGTTATGTTTAATGAAAGTATAAATAAACTCCAAGTGTTAGTGAATCTATTGTTTTGATAGGATACGCATTCTACGAAACTAGTTTCAACGATCCAACTGTCAAACATGTTTGTATATGTTTCGAGATCGCATACGCCAAAATTTTCAAAAAACAAACATTCAGAAATCAAGTAACGGGAGAAAACTTTTCGACGGTTATCAACGAAAAATCACGATTTAACGGTTATTTTAATGTTTTTTTACAGCTGTGTCCTTGACCCTATATGAATATCATGAATGAACTCGATCTTCAATTTAAAAAATTTAAACTAGTGGATACCGCAAAATCTTATGTTATACTTAATGAAAGTATGAATAAACTTTGAAGTGTTAGTGAATTTATCATTTTAATGCGATACACATTATACAAAAGTAATTTCAACGATCCAACAGTCAAACATGTTTGTATATACTTCGAGATCACATAAACCAAAAGTTGCAAAAAACAAAAATTCAGATATCAAGTAACGAGACAAAAGTTTTCGACGGTTATGATTGAAAAATCATGATTTAACGGATATTTTTAACTCCGATTTTGATGATTTTTTACAGCCATACTCCTTGACCCTATGTGAATACAATAAATGAATTCGATCTTCAATTTAAAATATTTACATTAGTGTATACTATAAAATCTTATGTTATACTTAATGAAAGTATAAATAAACTCTCAAGTGTTAGTGAATCTATCATTTTGATGGGATACGCATTCTACAAAATTAATTTCAACGATCCAACCGTCAAAGTTGTTTGTATATGCTTCAAGATCGTATACGCTAAAAATCGCAAAAAAGAAACATTCAGAGATCAAGTAAAGGGACAAAACCTTTCGACGGTTATCAATGAAAAATCACAATTTAACGGTTATTTTAACTCCGATTTTGATGATTTTTTTACAGCTACACTCCTTGACCCTATACAAATACAATGACTAAACTTGATCTTCAATTTAAAATATTTACACAAGTGGATACCACAAAATCTTATGTTATGCTTAATGTAAGTATGAATAACTTCTTAAGTGTTAGTGAATCTATTGTTTTGATGGGATACGCATTCTATGAAACTATTTTCAACGATCCAACCGTCAAACATGTTTGTATATACTTTGAGATCGCATACGCCAAAAATTTCAAAAAACAAACATTCAAAGATCAAGTAATGGGACAAAACTTTTCGACGGTTATCAACGAAAAATCACGATTTAATGGTTATTGTAACTTCGATTTTGATGATTTTGTACAATTACAGTCCTTGACCCTATATGAATACAATGAATGAATTCGATCTTCAATTTAAAATATTTACCCTAGTAGATACCACAAAATCTTATGTGATACTTAATGAAAGTATAAATAAACTCCAAATGTTTGTGAATCTATCGTTTTGATGGGATACGCATTCTACGAAAATAATTTCAATGAACCAACCGTCAAACTTGTTTGTATATGCTCCAAGATCACATACGCCAAAAATCGCAAAACCAAACATTCAGAGATGAATTCGATCTTCAATTTAAAATATTTACACTATTGATACCACAAAATCTTATGTCATGATGATTGATGAAAATTGAGGATTTTGTAAAAGGAATAACATGCAAGCTCTGAATTCCATTGGCAAGGTTTAAACTTTTGAGAAAGGCTTCACAATCTTGAAAACAAAAACTTTTTCATTTTGCATATCCTTGCACATTTAATATTTTTTAATAGATTAGTAGTGTATGGATGTTTGTTTATTAGGCTCTTATTTTCAAGTGTAGATGTAGAACTTAAATGACAAATGTGTTTTAATGTTTTGAAGTAATATTTATGTGGCAATGTGTGGTATGTACAAATTTAAGAAAAAAAAACATTTTTCTTAACGGGTCATAGCGAGTCATAACAGGTCGGGTCACTTTACCTGTTGGGTAAAGTGACCCGACCTGTTAAGGACCCGTTAAGATAACAGGTGTGACACGACACGACCCGTTAAGATAACAGCTGTTACACGAAAACGACACGAACATGACAGATACGACCCGTTTGCCAGGCCTATATAGCATTACTCTGTATTTAATTTTGCAAACTTTTTGAACGTAAGGAATGACTAATGAAGACATGCATGTGTAGCTACTCGCAGGACCAGTCTAAACACTTTGGAGGCCCTGGGCAAAAATAAAAATAGGGCCCACAAACTTACAATACACACAAAAAAAATAATGTTTTTCATGTGATTTTTTTTCTTAGGTATTTGAATTTTTAATAATTTGAATAAGTATTTTTCTTTGTCGGATAATAAGTTCGTCATATATAGAAAAACAAAGTTACATAGTAAAAGTGGTCATAAAGAAAAGAAGATTGTCATATGGTAAACATACTAGTCAATCGAACAATACTTGACGTCTAAAGTGTCTAACCACGGGACTTTAACAATGCAATTTTCTGAGCAAAAGCCTTGTAGATTTGGTAGAAGTGAAAGTTCCAATTTTTGCAGCTGTGTGAAAGTAATATCATTTTCTGAATAATCTCTGTGTTTGCCAAATTAAATTGGTAAAAACATACATACATTATTTTGTTGAAAGTTAAATTTGAATTGGATTGGATATAAAAAGTATGCGCCTCTAGTTAACCTTCTTGATGAATTAGCCAAATTTTAGTAATTATAATCAAAGGTAAAAGAAATTAAGAATCAAACAAAAATTAGTAAAAAATAAAAAGAAAAAGGCGTAAGACAAATTCGAACCCGGAACCTCATAATTATTAGAGAACAACGGCAGCAACGCCTCTAGTTAACACTTGCGCTGAAAAAAGAAAAAAAGGGCACATAGAAATATGGCCCTCGTTGTTTCGGCTTGGGTTTAAAAATGAAAAGGGCCGCACGCAGTAGCTGAGAGCATCAACATGCCTTCATCCGGGCATTTCAAACACCTTCTATGGAGGTTCAGAGGGATGAATTCCTTGCTCTTCATGTGGATTTTCGATGATCGGAAGTGGGGCCACAACTGCTCGCGCTTATGTGGTTTTGTCACTGTATAAGTATATCTTTACTATAAACACAATGAACAAGATGTATAAAAACATAAAGCATTTATTTCAACAAAAAAATATATAAAAGTTGATTCCAAACTGCATAATTAGAGTAAATAACTATACGGGAGTATGTCGGAACTTTTTTTGTCGGGATAAGGTCGGAACACTTTAGATAAATTTGGATCAGAAATTCTATATTATAGGAATTCTTATTAAATGCATTCCAATTTTTCAAAAAATAAAGTTCGATTTCAGAACTTTTGGGTTCGAATTTGGAAGTTTTACTATCTCAATCAGAATTACCATTCCAACTTGGACGCTATTATTGGGATAACCCTAATGGTTTTCCTTTTCAAAATGAATTTTTTGGTTCCTATTTAACCTTAAGATGTTTATTTAATATAAATACAAAAATGCATAGTCACAATTTTATTTTGAGTAGAGTGATAAAGTTAGTGGGTTAAAAAGTTAGTTGTTAGGGGAAAGAATCGGTAGAGATCAAATCCACACCAAAATGTATAAATATGATTGTCTTGTGTCACTACCTTAAAACGCCATTTGCAAGTCGCCGCTGTTTTGTAGACTATGAACTGATTAAGTCTTACATATTTAATGCTCCAACCACCATTTATACCAAAATGTTGAGTGGGATAAAGAAAGGCTGAACATTACTTTTGAAGAAAATGTAGGAACACAGTTATGATAGAAAAAGACTGAAAGTTATTATGCATGACCACATACAACTAACATGGACATGAACTAATCCTCTTGTTTCGTAGTTGCTTTTAATTCAAACCAATTTATTACATATCCGAGATTCATTCGCTAAAACAAGATTCATGAAAGATAATCCCTCAAATTTGTGATAAATGGCTTGGTTAAAAGTAGAGCAAACCATTTTCAACAAGAAGCTAGTTCGGCACCATGACCATGCATGAACAATAATAACATCTTATTATAAATCAAAAAAGCAAATACAAATTTAAGCTAGCCAGCAAGCAAGGACTCCACCTATTCTTGAGCAGCCATGGATTTAGCCTTCATACGTTGCTTATGAGCCTCGGATGGTGTTTTCACATCTGTTGCCAACCCTAGAGCCTCAAGAAATTTTATGAGGTACCAAGTCACGTCAATCTGCCACCATTCGAGGCCTTGTCGAGCTGAGTATTCAAAAGCATGGTGGTTATTGTGCCATCCTTCTCCAAGTGCAACCAACCCCAACCACCTAAAGAAGTTTAAGATTTTACATAAATAAATCCTTGTACGTCTTTTGTATATAATATCAAATTTTCAAAATAAATTTTTATATCTCAACTATGAATATAATATATACCAAAGGTTTTTAGAGAGATCGCCGGTGTTCCATGGCTGATTTCCCCACATGTGGCCAGCCGAATTTACAAACAAAGTGCTATGGAAAATAATCACCATCCTCACGCCCTGAAATCGTAAGGAACTTATTATTCAAACTTGTGAGGGCTATCTCTGTAGCTATACACATATATGCTCAAAGAAGGAAAAAAAAAAAAAAAGGAAATTTAGAAATCTAGCTCTCTCACCATTGGCCAAACCACGAAGGGAAATCCACCGATGTAATATAGTATACATCCAAGAAGAAATGAATGTAGAAGGAAAGTGTGATGAAGAAACACATAGAATGGCTGCTTCTTCATGTCTTCAACATTCCGAAGACCTCCGTACTGAAAATTTAACAAAACAAATATTAGTAAGTATTTGTAGCAAAAAAAAAAAAATTCAATTAAACAAAAAGTGAGGAACTTAATCGAGTCTGAGAGAGAAAGTGTGTGGCTTACTCTTCCAAACCGAGAACGGCTGTCTAGAATCCAACCCATGTGACTATACCAAAATCCCTTAAGTGGGCTGTGAGCGTCTTTCTCTGTATCGGTAAATTGGTGATGGTACCGGTGTGTGCTCACCCACTCAATCGGGCTACCCTGCAAATGAAAACACATCAAACGCAGCTTTTTCTCATTAACCTAATGCAGATCCTAGTAAAAATAGTCCCTAAAACAGATATGGAAAGAAGAAAGAACAGAAAAATAACAAAGTTGAAAAATGTTGATATTGCTATGAGATGTTTTGACATACGTACCTGAACTGAGAGAACCCCACAATAGGCAAACGAGTACTCGAGCAGTTTTGGGAGCCTAAAGCTCCGATGAGCAAGGTTTCTATGGTAAGAAAGAGTGACTCCGAAACCAGTGACGTACGCCAGCACAAGCGCCACCCAAAATGCTGTCCAAGTGAAGTAAAACGGTGCAAACAAACAAAGAACATGCACACTCAGAAACATACCAGCTGTGACAATGTCAAGCAGATTCCATTTCCTCCCCGAAAAATTTGCACAAGGAGTCATAAGAAGGGTGACCCAAATCTTCAAAAGACCCATGTTATTAAGGGCGTTCCCCTCAGCTTCTAATTCTATGGATTTTTCTTGTAATTTTATGGATTGGCTTCTTTTTTTAAGGACGTGTATTGCACTTGCATGGGACGGGTGATTGTGGAATGGGTAAGTTGGCCATAACTTGGCCTCTTTACTTATAGTGAAATAAATAATTTAATACGTAGCTGTATCGCCAGGTCATGGTAGGTGATACTATTAGGGTTTACTTATTGTAAATTTCCCATAAAAAATCTCTAAGCATGTTCTCAGGGTTTTGCATTTTTGCTGAAATTTCACAGTTAGAAGTTTACCTACTAATTCAAATGTCACGGTCCAAACCATACTTGCAGCTGCTAGCTATAGAGGAAATTCAATTCGAGTGCAAGAGGTCAGAAAATGGAAACATAGGACTCCATAGGCCGAACGTAATACAAACCCAGCTGAAGCTCTTATTATTACCAAACCAACCGCTTGGAGAAATTTTATTATATGTCAGATAGAGTAAGAGCTGGTAAATGTAAATCAATAAGCTTACTTTTGACAACCACCTAAGCTGTAACTTTAAATAATATCTGCTCGTTCTCAAAGAAAATTAATAATTCGTTTTATTTACTGGCCATCAGATTACACGGGAGAAATCACCACCATTCATTTATTATAAATGTGCAGCTGGTTAACTCTTTTCTGTGTTCAAATTGTGCCACATGATCCGTTATATCATGCATTCAAAGCATATGTAATAAAACAAACCAACTAACATGACCATTACACATTACTTGTCTCACTATGTAGTATTAAATATGTGGTATAAAAAATAGTATAAGTAAACTGTTGCTCTATTTTTATTTTGAATTTGGAGAACGTATTTTTATTAATTATAAAACTTTTCGATGTAAGACATGATTGTGATTACTTAGACGTAAAGTTAAAAGAAAGAAGCACCGTTTAATCAAGGAAAGTAATTAGAGAGTTGGTAATTCACAAGTTAAAAAATTGGATTTCACATAAGATAACTTTGAGCTGCATCGCCTGAAATTTGGCCCCATAAATATGAATTTTAAGGGAACAAAATGATTTACAAATGAGTAAGTTTTCGTCTGGAATAATAGTGGTGGGACTCTATGTAGTCGACAATTTCTCTAATTAAGAATTCTGCCAAACGATTATGAGTATATTTGAGTCGGTCGATGATCACCCAAAGCAGATGCAAACTTCACTTGGGCGAAGTAACTTGTACATGAAGTTCATGGTGACATCCTCCACTTCCAGACTGAAATAGGAAGTGGTTAAAACAACTGGAAGGATTAGTGTCTCTTAGCTTTCACTGCTGACACTCACGCATCAACTGCTTCCCCGGAGTCTTAAAACATTCGTGTTTTGCCCGTGAGAAAAAAGTGATTGTCACAAGTCAGTCTAGATTCTAAGCTCCTAAATTAGGAATCATAAAATCAGATTCAAAAATCTAAGCTATGGTACCAAATTGGCGCACTCTGACCTAGATATTTAGTAGTGCGTCCATTCAACGTAATGAACTCTTAAATAAATGTATGTAATGGAAGCCAGAGCATCTAAATATATATAGCGAAAGTATACAATTTAATATATCTGAAGATGTTAAAAAAAAATTATTGAAATTAATCCTTACATGATGAGGGAGGATTATACCATCAGCCAACGACATCGAGAGCTCCAAAGCCTACTAATCTTGGAGGGGAAAAAATGTAAAAGTGAGTGGGCAAAAGATTTATGAAACATACTAACACGTCCCTATAAAAACTCGTATAATAATCGAAAACATACTACATAGCTAGTATGGAAAGCCAAGCATTAATGTGCAAACAGTTATTTCGAGAAACAGTTAGAAGTCACAATTTCAAAATATCTCACTGTGAAACCGTAATAAATACTAAAATACCATGGCATTAGTGAAAAACTAATATTTCACGTGAGCAGGTAAATCACAAATCATCAACAAAACATATATGGTATGAACACCAAATAATGCAAACGTACGAGCTCATTCACAAATATTCTAACGTGAACATGTTGGGTGTATATATCTACGTTTTAGTACTATACATGTGAAGTTGGCACTTAGCACATCGCATACGAGTTCTAGTTGCCAAATGCAAACTATAAAGGTTAGCATATACAATGGATCCAATGTGAACGTAACGATGCATGTGAACATACATGTAAGTTGGTCCTGAACAATACTATTGACACCATGTAAGCATACATGATAAGCGGATAAATCATATGAAAACATTCCATGGATAATTTCTCAAATCATAATATCGCATAAAGTATTTCATAATATCAAAACATTCTAAAGGGAGGTTCTCAAGATTATAAATCGCATCACCATCAACACACAAAACATTTGCATCTTCTAAAAAAGGGCATGAAATCAAAGCATACCATAAAACTAATTTTGAAAACATATAAGTATAGTATAGTTCACTCAAACACTGCATGATTGTTACTGTCTTGCCCTGCACGCTCTTTGGAATCTTTGCGATACCAACCCTAAAGTGAAATAACCCATACTTAGTAAATAAATGGAAAACTACAAAGGTTACAGATGAATGAGTCCTGAACTACTATTTTGGGGCGTTCGAAAAACTCATATTTACCAAAGTGCCCCGCCACACGCACTAATTAGGGCGGGTCTAAACATTTTGGAGGTCCTGGGCAAAAATAAAAATAGGGCCCACAAACCTACAATACACACAAAAAAAATTATGTTTTTCATGTGATTTTTTTTTCTTAGGTATTTGAATTTTCAATAATTTGAATAAGTATTTTTCTTTGTCAGATAATAAGTTTGTCATATATAGAAAACAAAGTTACATTGTAAAAATGGTCATAAACAAAAGAAGATTGTCATATGGTAAAAATACTAGTCAATCGAACAATACTTGACATCTAAAGTGTCTAAGCACTCGGCTTTAACAATGCAATTTTCTGAGCAAAAGCCTTGTAGATTTGGTAGAAGTGAAAGTTCCAATTTTTGCAGCTGCATGAAAGTGATCTCATTTTCTGAATAATCTTTGTGCTTGCCAAATTAAATTGGTAAAGACATACATACATTATTTTGCTGAAAGTTAAATTTGAATTGGAATGGATATAAAAAATTTGCGCCTCTAGTTAACCTTCTTGATGAATTAATCAAATTTTAGTAATTATAATCAAAGGTAAAAGAAATTAACATTCATGCAAAAATTAGTAAAAAATAGAAAGAAAAAGGTATAAGACTAATTTGAACCCGGGACCTCATAATTACTAGAAAACACCGGCACCAACTGACACACCCCGACCGGAATGAAGGCGTGCTGGCCGTCACGTGAAGGTGACATAACCAAAAGTGCAAGTGATGCAAGAAAAATTGTGAATAAATTAAAACCGAAACTAGAACTTAATTAAACTAATAAAGTGAGTGCGCATTAGTGGTTACAACCGATAACTACAAATATTCAGAGTATAGATAACATAAGGGCGAAGGAGTCGAACTACAGAAGTACTTATTACACAACTAGAGATAAGTTCCTATGCTAAGATGGAGATATGTCAGAATCACCAGCTATTCCTCGTACGCCACAAAGATAAATCAGCTAATTAGGACCTGGAGGGGTGAAAAACAAAAGGGTGAGTGGGCACAAAAATAAAGGTTTATAAAATCCATTTATTTTTCAAGTATATTAACCCCTCGCTGTAAAACAAGTATAGTTTCCAAAAAATTATACTATATGAATATAATCACGTGCTTAACAAGCTAACTAGCACACAAGTCGGAGTCACCTAATGTGACTTGTACGACTGCACCTATTGCTCATCCATCTAGGCTAACACATGACTTGGAGTCACCTAATGTGACCTATATGATTGCACATATTGCTCATCCAACTAGGCTAGCACACGAGTCGGAGTCACCTAATGTGACCTGTACGACAGGACTAGGTGTAACAATATACATTCTAGTGCTACGATCATGTGAAGACTAGCGCTATGCACGCCACCTACAAGTTAGAGTCGCCTAATGCGACCTGTACGATAGGACTAGCAACTACTTGGATCCAAGGTGAGCATGGGGTGCGAGGTGAACATCATGTGAAGGACTGGCCTTGGCCCGGGGCGAGCATCAACACCACAATGCAACAATGATGAGCAAACTATATGAAAATATACATGCCATAACTCAAACATTCCAAACAACATAGCAAACTCACATGTTCTTACCTGCGCATCCTGTAGAGTTACTTATCTTTATACAATAGCATAATATACGAGTAATGTATATGAATATGCCATGATCAAATATATAAATCTCAACCACCTAACACCATTTTTAAAATTACATAACTCATGGCATAATATGCATAAACAGTTTAAAAGCATTTGTGGAAACTAATAAGTTTATATATATATATATATATATATATATATATATATATATATATATATATACGAAAATAAAATGCCTACTCACAGGTATGTCATAGGATTGTAGCCCCTTAGTCTCGCTTGTCCACATATACAAAAAACTAGGAAAAACTTCCCATAATTTGCTTAAACGGAAGGTTTGAATATACGAAAATGTTCTACTCGAAGTCACGGACCTACACGTAAAACAACTTGCCGGCCGGAGGCCGGACGCGCACTCACGTGCCGTCTAACCCATAGACACACGTGCGGCCACGTGCACGGTAGGTGATTGACGGAACAGAGGAATATTCCGTCATATTTGACGAAATATTCCGTTAAATAGTAGCGGACGTTAACGGCGTTACCTGACGCCGTTAGAATATTTTGTCAACTTTAATGAAACATTCCTTGTCTTCTCCGGTGAGATTGTCATCCGCCGCCAGCGGCACCGTTGTCTAGTTTCGCCAGAAATTGGAAAAACTTGCTGATTTCTAGAAAATTTTCAAACCTTTATATCTTGCTCATTTTTCAACCATTTGTAACCAAATTTACATGGAAATGAAGCTCGTGACAAGGAGAACAAATCTATACCTTTTGAAAGTCCAAAAATGGATGGGAAGTGGCTTGAAAATGGCTCGATAGGTTCGGCCAAAACTTTGCTCCTTGAACCTGTGTGCTTTCGAGGTTGTTTCTTCTTCAAACTTGTCCTAGGAGCCTCCGGGAGTTGTAAGGAAGCTTCCCCATGTCCTAAAATCTCTTAACTCGACCGGAATCATGACGATGCTAACTTGACCGAGTCAGAGCTTTCAAGTTGCTCCGCGTTGACCACTCAAAACTCAACCAACGCATGATCTAAGGGTACAGTTGAGTTCGTGGTGATAAGAGGATTGTGATAGTGTGGTTCTTGAGCTCAATCTGCAAGGTTTTGATGTTGGTCTTCCTTGTTGCAGAGAAAGAGAGCTTCGATGAAGGATAGAAAAGAAAGAGGGAGAGTGATTTTTCTGATTGGGCAGAGAGAGGAAGAGTGGGAGAGAAACTGATTGGGCGAGAGGTGTGAGGGAACAATTTGATTAGTGGTAAGGTGTAAGGCATAGGTCCGGTTTAAAAAAAAAAGAGAAAAAGAAAGGATAGGATGTGTACAGAGAAATCAGACACAATCTATCCAAAACAATGTTTTAAACATGTAATGAAAACAAATCCTGTGATGTCCATCTTTATTACAATTTTTTTTAGTTTTTGAACTGATTTAGGGTTTGTTGTTGTTTGAAATGATTTAGGGTAGCTAGTAGCTGTTACGTTTTGTTCAACATTGTTGTTCTCCAAGCACTTTACGCCTTCTTTAACATGTTATACCTACTCATTTAATTTTGTTTACCTTATGTATTTTTTTTCTCTGCTCTCGTATGGCCAGGTTGCCTTGCCATCTCGACAAGGGCCACATGGGTGCTGTTGGTGCTTTCTTCTTTTGACCTGTGAAATGGAAACCCAACCAATCTTAGAAGAAAATTTCTCACCAAGATTACTCGAAACTCCAAAAACAACAAATATTGCTCACCAAAAATTCGCCCGAATGCAGGGTTTGAGCTAAAAGTCATGCAACATAAGGATCTTATTTTTCCATACTGGTAAGTTATATATGGACGACTTAAGTACATCTCACTCATTGGCTATTATACGTCTCATTTTTTCGTTATTTAGCTATTGATGTGGCTGATTATTTCATGTTGACCCAATAGAGCTCATGTTGTCGACGACTTTTATGGCAAAAGCTGACATGTAGGAGGATCCCTGATTTTGGTATAAACGTTCTAACTTTATCTTTCATTGCAATTTACTTATGTTTTGACATCACTTGTGTGATATGGATTCAATCCCGTTCACATGCGCACTTAAATTTGTCATTTTTAGGTTTTAATTTATTCACTATTTCCACATCACTACACTTTATGACTTTGTTACCTTCCAGGTGTCAACCAATACATGGCGATTTGGATGTCTAGGTGGACATTCCGGGTCGGGATGTGTCACCCTAGAAAATAATCACTGTTTCTAGAAATAGTGATGTAGTGTATTAAAAATTTGTTGATAATAATTTTGTTGAATTTTGACATATGATAAATAATTCATATTATTATGTCTTAAAAAATATGATTAATTTTTTAATTATATACCTAACAAAAAATAGAGGGGAGGAATGAGTGACATGAGAGAGAGAAGAGGGAGAA